TGGTTCCCGGACTCAAGAGCACAGGCTCAGTAGTTGTGGCACATAGGCTTAGTTGTCCATAGCATGTGAGATCTTCCTGGACCAGGGATCCAACCCAAGTCTCCTTCATTGGCAGGCAGATTCTTTATCAGTGAGCCACCAGGGAAGCCATCGCCGAGAGATTTTTTTTCAGCTGTATGAAGGCCAGTAAAGAAGAAATAAGTTAGCGGGCAGGAGCCTGTCTGCAGGGATATAACCAGGAGGGTGCAGGGCAGCGGGTGATTGGACCTCCCTGGGCTGAGAAGTTCCCAAGTGACCTGAGTGCTGTCGCCAGAAGCTGACTCCAAGGGGCCATGGGTTCCGTGGGTCGTTGAACCTGACATATCTGTGTATTCACGGGTCATGCTGTCCCTTGGCTGTCACTAGGACAGTCCAAATGATTGCTTCATGTCACTTATTGATTCTTCTTCTGAACAGGAATGGTTCCCCCTTCTCTGATTTGTGAAAGCTTTTATCGTTGTTCAGTCGCTAAGTCAGGTCCGGCTCTTTTCGATCCCATGGACTGCAGCATGCCAGTCTTCCCTGTCCTTCACCATCTTCTAGAATTTTCTCAAATTCATGCCCATTGAGTAGGTGATGCCATCCAAATATCTCATCCTCTGTTGCCCCCTTCTCCTCCTGCCTTCAATCTTTCCCAGAATCGGGGTCTTTTCCAATGAATCAGTTCTTCGTATTAGGTGGCCAAAGTATTGGAGCTTCAGCTTCAGCATCAGTCTTTCCAGTGAATATTCAGGGTTGATTTCCTTTAGGGTTGACTGGTTGGGTCTTGCTGTATCAGTTCTTCAGTGCTCAGCCTTCTTTATGGCCCAACTCTCACGTATGCTAATTGTACACTTAAAACTGGGGAGAAGCCAGAGTACTTTGACTGTCTCTGGCTGGTAGGGTGAGGAGTGACTGCTCTTGGGTTCAGGGAATCATGCCAACGTCCTTGTCCTGTGGGCTCCAGGCGTGTGGACACATGTGTTCCCTGGGCAGGAGGGCTGTGAAGGCTCACACTGGATTAAGTAGGGTGTGGACACAGGAATGTGAGTTCTGGTTGCTTCTCCCTATGAGGTTTCCCTCGAGCAGTGGGTCAGGGCATGCAGCTCCCCAGGTCTCCAGTGGCACAGACGGAGGGACCGTCTGCCTGCAGCGTACTGGCCTTTATCTGCCTCTGGGGAGGTTTTCAGGTTAAGGTGTCCGAGGCACAGGGCTAGTCACCCTCCTGAGTAAGTGGTGTGTTGGGAGGTGCAGCCATCAGCAGACTGGGGACTGGGCCCTGTGCTGTCAAGCAGAAGTCTCAGTTCAATTCACTCAGTTGTGTCCAACTCTGCAACCCCATGGACTGCAGCACACCAGGCCTCCCTGTGCATCACCATCTCCCAGAGCCTGCTCAAACTCATGTCCATCGAGTTGGTGATGCCATCCAATCATCTCATCCTCTGTCATCCCCTTCTCCTGCCTTCAATCTTTCCCAGCATCAGGGTCTTTTCCAATGAGTCAGTTCTTCTCATCAGGTGACTAAAGTGTTGGAGCTTCAGCTTACTGACCAAACTGATCACATGGACCACAGCTTTGTCTAACTGGACGAAAGTATGAGCCATGCTGTGTAGGGCCACCCAAGATAGATGGGTCATAATGGAGAGTTCTGACAAAATGTGGTCCTCTGGAGAGGGGAATGGCAAACCACTTCATTATTCTTGCCTTGAGAACCCTATGAACAGTATGAAAAAGCAGGTCTGGAGCTCATGCTTTTAATAAAAATCTTGGTATTCTGCCTCTTCCCCTCCCCCCCACTTCAAAGACATTAAAAATGACAAAAATGAGATGAATGAATGAAAAAAGAGTGTCCACACAGTGTTCCACTGTGGGAGCCAACAGGGTCCCTTGACAGGGTCCGGAGCTGGGAAACCCCCCCGCCACCCCCGGTTGGCCTCTTGTCTCCTGGCTGGCCTCTGCGGGTTAGGATTTTCAGTGGCAGAGGCCAAGTCACCTCACATTCGTGAGCTTGGTACTCCTGCTTCTGACTTTCCCGTCATCAGCAGCTGTCTCGGCACCTCACACCTCAGGGAAGAGGTGGGGAGCGGAGAACCTTGCCAGAAACCCTCCTGGGGACTCCATGACAGGCTGACGGTGAGGTGCCAGGAATACCCTGAAACAGCTAAAAGCCTATGTTGTTGTAGTTTAAAATTTTTTATTAGGGAAATACATGCATAAAGACAACTATCACTACAGAGTGTGTAACCCAATCCCTCAGTCTCCAGTCCGATGTCCCTATCTGACCTGGAAACACAGTCTTCTCTTCGGGAAATATTTATTTTTTTGAGAAGTTCTTATCTTCTTAAATGAGTAAATGCTGCTTTTGAATAAAATCTCATAAACAGAAATATATTAAAAAAGATCACCATATGTACCCTATACTGATCATTGTTAACATTTCTTTTTCTCCTAATTCAAAACGTAATTTTGCTCATTAGGAGGCAAGTATCTATTGAGTCCTGGGTGGTGCTCCACTGCCCTCTAGAGGTGAAACTGGTGCACTGCAGTCACCTGACCAGGTAGGTAGCGTATGAGGCGGAGAAGCTGGCTGAGCATCTCACCAAATAGTTCGTTCCCTGCAAAGATTGAGGCAGAAGTTCTAGAATACTCAGTGTAAAATATTGGAACTAGTAGAACTAGTGTTTTGTGTGGTTCTTTTTTGCTAATATACTATAACTCTTCCAAATCATTTATATGACAAAAACCTCAGAGATTGTCTCTCCTTAAAAAAAAAAAAAATTTAAACCCAAGTCCTCCTTGGTGTGATGGCTTGTGATGGCTTCTTCACCCAGCTATCTGGTATCAGGAGAGGCCACACCCGCCTAAGGGGTCTTGGACTCCTTCTCTTTGCCATGAAGCTGCTTTCAGTTGAAGATAATAAGAAATCTGTATTTCAACGTGTCTTTCTGGTGTTTTTTTTTTTTTTCCCCACAGTAACAATAGCAAAAGTTTCCCTTCCTCTATTTGTAGCTGAAACAAAAAATTTGAAATGCACAGCTTTAAGGAAGAAACAGGACAAGGGAGCTGGCTGACCCAAGTGGGCCCTGGCATCCCAGGAGTGCCAGCTTCCCAGAGAAGGACAGGACGAGCAGGGCCCCCACAGGTGCCTGGGCTCAGGGGTGACCTGCAGACCCTTGACCCAGGCCTGCCCATCCTATTCAGTGTTCCCACACTCAGCTGTGCCACTGCCCAGCCTGTCTTACAGTCCCCAGCCTGAGACCTGAGACCCAGACCCTTCAGGTCACCAGCTATGCTTGAGCCATTGCCCCATCCCAGGGCCTCCCTGACCTTGGCTGACACTCTGCACCCCTGAGCACAAACCCAGCTTGCTGCCAAGAACTCTGACAGCTTAATGATAAACCTGCAGCCTAAAACTATGTGAGAGTGACTGAGTCACTGGCATGGGAATCCAGAGAATGTTCTGGAGCCTGTGCATGTGTGCTCATCTGTGTATTTAACGTGTCCTGAGTTACAGGCAGGACACACTGCACCATCTGCCAGGCCGAGACGGGAATGTGGGTCCAGCTCAGGAGTCTTCATCCTGCCTGGTCCATATCTCCAGGCACCTGCTCTCAGCCCTCTCCCCAGGGGCACTGAACTGAGGCCCAAGAAGCCCTGCTTTCTGCTTCTACATCCCACGGGCATTGTTGGGGGGACGGGAAGCTGTGCCTCAAGGTATTGGGATCTTAGTTCCCTGACTAGGGACCAAACCTGTGCCCCTGGCAGTGGTTAAGTTCAGTCTTAAGCACTGAGAATTCCCCTATCTTAGTAACTGTTGTGTCCATTTTGGCAGTATTAAGTACATTCACAGTGTTGTACAACCATCCATCCCCACAATTCTTGTCCTCTTGAAAAACTGAAACACTGTCCCCATTGAAGAACGACTCCCCTCCCACAACCCCCATTCTCTCTGTCTCTGTGGATTCTGTCACTGCACGTCCCTCATATAAGTGGAATCACATGGAATCTGTCCCTTTGTGATGGGTTATTTCACTCAGCATCATGTCCTCAAGGTTCATCTGTGGAGTAGCAGGTGTCAGGATTCCCTTCCCTTTTAAGACTGAGTAATGTTACATTGTCACTGCAACAAAAGTCTGTGTAGTCAAAGCTATGGTTTTTCAGTAGTCACATACAGATGTGGGAGTTGGACCATAAAGAAAGCTGAGCACCAAAGAATTGATGCTTTTGAACAGTTGTTGAAGACTCTTGAGAATCCCTTGGACTACAAGATCAAACCAGTCAATCCTAAAGAAAATCAACCCTGAATATTCACTGGGAGGACTGATGCTGAAGCTGAAGCTCCAATACTCTGGCCACCTGATGCGAAGAACTGACTCATTAGAAAAGACTCTGATGCTGGGAAAGATTGAAAGCAGGAGGAGAAAGGGGCAACAGAGGATGAGATGGATGAATGGCATCACTTATTCAATGGGCATAAGTTTGAGCAAATTCCAGGAGATGGTGAAGGACAGGGAAGCCTGGCGTGCTGATGTCCATGGGGTCACAAAGAATCAGACACGACTGAGTGACTGAACCACAGCATTCCATTGTGTGTCCATTCATCTGTCTGTGGACATGGAATTGTCCCCATCTTTTGACCACTGTGAACAATGCTGCTGTGGATATGGGGGTACAAATATCTGAGTCTCCACTTTTACCTTTGGGATGTAGGCCCAGAAGTGGGATCGCTGGCTCACAATAGTCTTGTTTTTAATCTTCTGAGAAAGCACCTGATATTGGCCACACCGGCTGCAGCTGTTAAGGCCGGGCCAGTGGTGCTGGGGTTCATTGCTCCAGGTCTCACTGCATTTGGTTTCTCATCTGTTCTTTCGCTGCTAAGGGCTGCACCGTGCTCTGCTTTGCATTTCCTGCTGATAGGTGAAGCAGACTTCTGACTTTGAGTTGTTTTGAATGCTCATGGCTCACTCTCCACTGCTTTCCAGGAAGGAGATGAAGATGCTGGAGCTGTCGGGGTACCTGAAAGGTGAGCTGGGCGCCGAGGAGCAGCTGTCACTCATCAGCGGTTGCTCTGACCTGCGGGAGGCAGTAGAGGGCGCCCTGCACGTGCAGGTGAGTGGGGACACCTGCCCACCTAGCTGGCAGGGCCTGTCCCCTGGGTCCTTGGGTCAAAGGCAGGGGGAGCCGTGGGGATCGTGAGCCCACAGGTGCGGATGGCGTTCACGTGACCAGAAACACTGTCTCCCCAACCCCCCCCCACCCCCTCCCCAAGATGGAGTTCGCTCTTGGGTTGTTAGAATGTTGAGCAAAAAGAACATCTTCTGGACAGCTAACACTTTCCTATTTTCATCTAACTGGATGAGGGACTGTTGTTCTGAGATACAAGAGATCGCCTAAGAGAAACCCTTTCGTGTCTTGTAATGTTTGCATTTACTTTTTCCAACGACTTCACTCAGAGAATCAGGCTGTCCCCACCGCCAAGGACACTCCAGGCCCAGCAGACTGGGGGCAGCTCGGTGCCCATGCAGGCTCCAGCCCGCCAGGCCCTGAAGGCAGCCCCCGCCCCATGAAGACCCGGTGTCTCCTGGCTTCCAAAACGTGACGCTTAAGCTGCCCGGGGTTGACGGGGCCTTGCTCCTGAGCCCCTCCTCGCCCCACGTCCAGCCAGTGCTGCTGTCTCGTCTGGTCTGTGACGCTGGTTGAACTGAGAACTGGGAGCAAAGCCGGGCCTGAGCGGGGCTCCTGGTGCAGAGGCCTCAGGCCTGATGCTCCTCCGGTCCACACTGTAGACTTCCTCGTCTCCTCCCGCTCTTTCTACCACATCTTGTGTCCCGCTCAGTGAAGGGTCCAGGACAGACACCAACCAGGCCCTGAGCGCTGAGCCCCTCATCCTGGCCCGCTGAGGCCTCAATTCCCGTCCTCAGAGGTTGTGGCCACCTCAAGTGGCCCTTATTCCAGGCCAGGCTCCATTGATTCCAATGAGAACAGTAGGAAACCCCTTTTGGGGTCAATTTGATACATGATATTTACATGATGGAAGTGAATGCTTACAATGATGTGTATGATGTGACCTGACAGGTGAGCATGTGATGTGTCACCACACGTTTCCCAGAACAATGGTGTCCACTTGGGTCTGTCTCCACTAGAGTGATTTGGCTTCTTTTCTGAACAGTTTCCAGTGCCCTTTGCTTTTTCCTCTGAGACGTTTGCTGTGCTTTGTAATCCGTGTGTGATGATGGCTGCAAAGTTTCATCTCCAGCCTCAAGTACTAATTGTCAAGCCTTCCGTTGTTTTTTTTCTTCCCTGCAGTGGTATGGTATGATCCACATGATAACTGGCAGTGTTATTTTTCTAAAGCAATCTTTGTGTGTGTTCGTGTTAGTTTCTCAGTCGTGTCCGACTCTCGTTGACTCCATAGACTGCAGCCCACCAGGCTGTTCCATCCATGGAATTCTCCAGGCGAGAACACCCAAGTGGGTTGCCATTTCCTTCTCCAAAAGCAATCTTTATGAGGTTCATTATAAATTTTCTAGCACTAGCCATTGCAAGAGTAGCCCTGTGGCTTAGTGGTAAAGAATCCACCTGCCAATGCAGCAGATGTGGGTTTGAATCCCTGGGTCAGGATGATCCCCTGGAGGAGGAAATGGCAACCCACTCCAGTATACTTGCCTGGAGAATTCCATGGACAGAGTTTGGATGGAGTCGAAAAGAGTGGGACATGACTAAGCAACTGGGCATGCACACATGCAGCTATTGCAAAGTCATGCCCCAGGAATAATTAACATGTCTGTGTTAAATTTCTTTTTCTCCTGATCCCATTTAAAAAAAAAAAAAGGATTCTGGGACTTCCCTGGTGGTCCAGTGGTTGGGACTCAGTGCTTCCATGGCCTGGGGCCCAGGTTTGATCCCTGGTCTGGGAACTAAGATCACAAATGCCACATGGAAAAAAAGAGAAAAAAGACCTTGAACCTAAAGAGTCAAGGCTCAGGGCTGCACTTGCTCTCCAGGGGCCTCACAGCACCTCCAGTGTTAGTGCTCAGAGACCTCCTGTTAGCCACCTCCTCTGAGCAACTCTGTATGGCTCCCTCTTTCCTGTTTAAGGAAAATTTTCTCATCGTAGAAAAATTCACCTAGGCTTTTTGGAGGCTTCTTTGTTTATAAAAAGAAAACGATCACTGCTTTAGGGAATTGCCCAAAGGCAGGAAGAGAGCATGTGAATTAACACAAACACTTCTTTAATCACAAACCTTCCAGTTGTGCGAGTTACTGAGCCCTGGGAATCACCGCCCTAGAAGTGCGAGTGGTTAATTTGTCTTCCACCCAAGTCCCAGTGGGCGGGTTCCTGGGTCAGAAGGTTTCCTCTGCTAAAATGTGAGAAGGAGTGAGAATGGAACCTGAATTTCTAGCACTTAGTGCAATTTTGAAATCAAATCTGGCCTGGCAAGAAAATCTAGTGTGCTGGAGAAATAAGTATATTCTGAAAAGCTTCTAAAGTATTGACTGTTGCATAGCGTTAAGGGTCATTAGCTATGACACAGAGGCTTTATCTCATCTCTGCAACTTTTTACCTAAGATCCAGGTAGCTAGCTGGTAGGAGCCATGGGAATTTTGGACATGGAATTGTGAGCTCTAAATGGACTTTCCTTATAGTCAGCACAGACAACTCAGATGTGTTTTTCCATGTCAATCTGAACCTTTACCTCTAAAACTGGGTAAATGATTAGTCATTTTGGTAAGGACTTTGAGATTGCTAGTAATTACAGGAAGCAGTATTCGTAATAAATACTATGGTTTAAAATTTATACATTTGCAAGGTCGGCCATTTTTTTGGTCTTGTTCCACTGAGACTCAGAGTGATCCTCCTTTTGGTAGGAGTGGGGGGGGGCGGGGGGGGGGCGGGGAGAGGGGGGCGGCAGTACTGAGTGTGCGCAGGAGTGCACGTTGAAACCTGAATTTCATTTTTCCTGTTCCATGTGTGTTTTAATTTGTAAAATTGGATTATTATTCACATATAATAAAAGCTGGCAGTTTTAGTGTTCAGGTCTGTGTGTTCTGACAAATGCATGTGGCCATGTCACCACCCTCCCCTATCTCCCCCCCCCGCCCTCCCCAGCTTCAGAGCATTTCGGCTACCCCACAAAGTCCCCTCCTCCCACTTTGCGGTCTGACCCAGGCCCCAAAGCCGCTGGTCTGGTTTTGTCCCTGCAGCTTTGCCTTTTCTGTAATGTGGTACAATGTGGACTTACCAGGACTGCACGTGCTTTGTTAGATTTACTCATAAATGTGTCCTGATTTAGATGCTACTGTAAATAGTACCTTCACAAAATTTCAGCTTCTGCTTGCTCATTGCTAGTACATAGTAATATAGTTAAAAGTGGGTTGTTTAATTTATTTAAATTTGGAGGGTTTTCCATATATCTTTGTTATTGATTTTTAGTTTAAATCTGTTGTAGTCTCAAAACATACTTGACGTTATTTCAATTCTTTTATTTTGTTGAGGCATGTTTTATAACTCAGAATATAGTCTGTTTTGGTGAATATTCCATATGCAGTTGAGAGAAATGTATTTAGGAGTGAACTGTAATATGTAAATATGGGTAAAGTTGCTGGATAGTGTTATCCAGGTCTTTTCCATCGTAACGGATTTTCTGTTACTTCTATCCATCAATGAGAGAAAAGTATTGACATCTATAATTGTGGATTCATTTCTCAGTTCAAACCAGGCATATAGTTGGGTGTTGAGCTTTTGCCCCCTCTGACAGACCCTTTTAATTAGCATGTTTTGGTCCATTGCATTTAGTGTAATTATTGATGGGGTTGGATTAAAAGCAACTGTCTTGCTTGTTCTTTTCCATTTGTTCCGTTTGTTTTGTGTTCTTCTTCCCCACCCTACTTTTTGGCTGGCTTGTAGATGGAGCATTTCTTATCATTTCATTTATCTCCATGATTGTTCATTTATACCTCTTAGAAATATTTTTTTGGTGATTACCATAGGGTTTATAAAGTTTTTTTCTAACTAGTCATGGTCTATCTTCATGTATTGGGTAAGAACCTTATAGCAGCACATTCCCAGCACATTTCCCAGCGGAAAGCCGCTTTTCTGTTGTTTTCACAGGTTTTCCTTTTACACATCCTGTCACAGCACATACAGCTGCTGCCTTTTCTTTGTATAGTCAACTAGTTTAAGGCAATTAAAATTAAACTTTATATTTATCTGCATTTTCACCATTCCAGCATTCTTCAATTCTTTGTGTAAATTCAATTTCTCCTGAATTTTTTTCAATTTTATTTATTTATTTATTTTTTTCTGCGTCTGATGTCAGGGGCAGATTGGCTGATGAACTGAACGTGAAGGTACAGTAACCCAGCAGGGGTAGTGATATCTAGGTTGGTATATTTCTGGACTGCCTCTGTGAGGCGTGCCAAGAATAAGGCTGGATTGTCGTCTGCCCCTTGGGTGACTTCGCTGACTTTATCATAATTGACATGAATATGAGTATTTTTCTGCATTCCTTCTAGAATGCAGGTGATCATATGATTGAGTCTCCTGACACCTGGGTCACCAGGCTGGTAAGTCCAGTGGGGATCTAACTGAGGTACCGCCTCATCAGCAACTGGGCTGTCCCAGTCTTGGTTATGTAAATGATCAGCATGGGCTTTTGCCGCTTGCCAGATACGGTCTTTTTCATCTAGGGTGAGAGTGGCATTTAGGATATGATATACATCACTCCATGTGAGGTTATAGGCCTGGGAGAGTCTCAGGAATTCTTTTCTGTATCTGGTAGGATTTTCAGAAAATGATCCTAACTTTTCTTCTATCTGGCTCATATCTGACAATGAAAATGGCACATGGACTCGGGTGGGGCCCTCTGGTCCTGCCACCTCTCTCAGGGGAAACATGTGCTGGGTATGTGACCCTGTGGCAGGTGGGGAAGGAAGAGGGGAGGGGGAGTCGGGGAGATGGGGTAGCGGGGCCGAGGGGGAGTCAGGAGCGGTTTCAGTGCCAGTAGGTGAGTTGGATGAAGGGGAAGGAGAGGGGCGGTGGGGTGGCGGGTAGGGAGGGGGCTCCTCTGCAGGGTCGAACTCTGGGGGTGCGGAAGGTTGCGGTCTGC